GTCGTTACATACGACCATCCAGCCTCATGGCCTTAGTCATGATGGATTTTTTGCTCAAACACATGCCCACCTTCAAAGAGGTGGTCGTTACATACGACCATCCAGCCTCATGGCCTTAATCATGATGGATTTTTTTCTTTAAAACGCATGCCCACCCTCAAAAGGGGTGGTCGTTACATACGACCATCCAACCTCATGACCTTAGTCATGATGGATTTTTTTTCTTTGAAACGCATGCCCACCCTCAAAAGGGGTGGTCGTTACATACGACCATCCAGCCTCATGGCCTTAGTCATGATGGATTTTTTGCTCGAACGCATGCCCACCTTCAAAGAGGTGGTCGTTACATACGACCATCCAGCCTCGTGGCCTTAATCATGATGGATTTCTCCGTATTCATCCTGTCCTCAAGGTTAATCCCAGAATATCGACTATACATAAAGTAAATTTGGTAAACAGCAATTTGCAGAAACTTCAATACGCCATTTCATTCATCATCGAGTGAAGTAATTCATTACATTGGCGGTGGTAAATAAGAAAGAAAAAATTTCAAGCATAATACTTCTTTAAATTAGCCACATTCCATGACCTGGCTAGAGATCTTCCTTCAGCATTCTTTAAGGAGTAGGCTCCTCCCGCGTGGACCTTTTCGGCCAGGTATGGTCCTTCCCAGTTAGGCTCTAATTTCCCGACATGTTTTAGCACATCGACCCTCTTCCATACCAAGTCACCCACTTGAAATCTCTGCGTTTTCACTTTTCTGTCGTGCGCTGCTCTCATCCTTTGCTTGTACGCCTCGACTCTGATTGTTGCCATTTCTCTAAGCTCTTCAATTGTGTCGAGCGCTGCCAGCATCAGGTGTTCATTCTGTTCTCGATCGTATGCGCTCGACCTTTGGGACTTAACCTCGACCTCTATCGGTAACAGGGCCTCCATGCCGTATACCATGCTGAACGGTGTTTCCCCCGTGGTCGATCGGGGTGTTGTTCTGTACGCCCATAGCACCGAAGTAAGCTCATCCACCCACGCTCCCGATGCCTTCGCCAATCTTGTTCTCAGTCCGTTCAGTATGATTCTATTTGTTACCTCCACTTGTCCATTGGCCTGCGGGTGTGCGACCGAAGCGAAGTGTTGGTCGATTTTCATGTCCTCACACCATGCTCGGATCCTCTTACCGTTGAATTGGGTCTCGTTGTCCGACACCAACACCTTGGGAACTCCAAATCTGCAACATATGTTATCATATAGGAAATGTATAACTCTCTTCTCCGTGATCCTCGCCAGGGGCTCGGCCTCCACCCACTTCGTGAAGTAATCGACCTCCACAATCAAAAACTTTCTTTGTCCAGTTCCTTGGGGCATGGGTCCAACCAGGTCG